GGAGGAGGAGCAGAGGAGGAGGAGGAGGAGGAGGAGGAGGAGGAGGAGGAGGAGGGAAGGAGGGGATGACGAGAGAGGATGATGGATAAGGGGGTTCCGATCCAACCAGGCAATGGGGGGGGGAGGAGAGAGCACGGCAGAGGGCAGGAGGATAGAGGAGGGGTCCGATGAGGACGGGTTCGAGATCGAGGGACGGAGGGCGGAGGAGAAGGAGGAGGACGAGGAGGACAGAGCAGGCCTGAGGAGGGGCGAAGGAGGGAGCAAGCAGCAAGGAGGAAGGAGCCAGGAGGAGGCAGCCAGCACGAGGGAGCAGGGAGGGCGGAGCAGGGAGGAAGAAGTGAGGCGGAGGAAGTCAGGAGGAGGGAGCGGTGAAAGGAGGCAAGGAGGTGGAAGCGAGGAGGGGGGATGGCGGAGGAGAAGGGTGGGGATAGCCGCTCGAGAGTCCCAGGAAATGTGGTGAGAAACGTGGTGGCGCATGGCGAACGTAGATACACGTGTAACATCTGCTGGATTGTTGCGCGGATGGACGCATCAATTGCGCAGAAAGCTGACGGGCGCAGGACGCAACGGTGGGGACATTGCGAAGGCCGCCAGGCGGTCCTGCCGCGCAGGTGCAGTCGCGAGAAACTCAGCAGCGAGCTCGGTCTGCGAGAGTCCCATGACCTCTGGTCGTGCCTTTCGATCGGGGGGTGGGGCGGGGGGGTGCACTTTGCATCACGGCCGCGACCTGCGCTCTGAAATTTTGCTCTCGCACCTGCGACCTCCACGTTACCCCCGCTGCGTGTGGCCGAGAGGGGGGCAAGCAGGAGGGGCGGGGAGATTGGCTGACATTGGCAGGAGGATTGCGTCCGCGCTCAAAGACCCCCATCGCCTGCCATGCTGTGATGGTTGCAAGCTTGGAAACGGACGGGATGGGCTTACAGCCGCAAAGAAACTTGCATGAATATGAATGCTCGGAGCCCACGCGAATTCCTTGGGTCGGCGCCAGGCTCCCTCTGGCGGCGCGCTCCTTGCGCCCCTGGCGCACTCCCCGCGCCAGGCAGGGGGGTCCAGCGCCAACCCGAGAAGTCCGCGCGGACCTCCTGACGTTTCTGCTTATGCTCAGTATCGTTTAAACAATCCCCATCCCCATCCCCATCCCTTTCGAGACCCCCACCAAATTATCACCCTAGTTGGGGATACACCCCTGGAAACCCCAAGGGAACGACCCATATTCCCATCTAGGGGGGTAAATCGGCCAGTGGGGCCAAGGCCACGCCGCTGGGGATGGGGATCGGTCAAACGACACTCATATGTGCTCGTTCGCTCCTTTGATGTTGGGCGCTCGGGGCGCGGGTTTCGAGATGGTGGAGCACCCCGGCAGCAGAAAGCAGCACTACCTCTCTCGGCGCCGCTATAGGCGCAGATTGCAGCGCCATTTTCCTCGGAGCACGTGGCGCCCAATACCCCTCTTCTGTTCCCTCTTCCCTTAAGTCGGGCCAGTCCCTCTACAGGAGGAATATTCAAAAATAGTTTTAAAAAAAGTCTGGGGACAATCTTTTGACTATGTTTGGGCTATTTGGGGGCATTGTTAGGGGTATGTTTGATTTTTCGCCCAAAATCCCCCCTGTAGGGGGACAGGCCCAACAGAATTCTGCCCCCCTCCTCGTGCGACCGGACGGCCTCGGATGCACGGTTGCACTCCGCCCAAGGCACCCTCACGGGAGCGGCGCTCGAGGATCAGCCCCCATGTGGCCCCTTGCGAGCAAGCACATGGCACCAAGGAAGGATGTGTCTTCCTCTCCCTCCTCCCTGTCAGAACCTTGCAGGTGTGTCAGAGCCCCGAATCATCAGGGGTAACTCGGGTCAGGGTTAACTCGGGTTCGTTTTTCGGGAATCCGAACCCGAGTTACCCCGGACCCGAGTTACCCCGGATATTTCGGGCGTCCAGAGCCCCGAATCATCAGGGGTAACTCGGGTCAGGGCTAACTCGGGTTCGTTTTTCGGGATTCCGAACCCGAGTTACCCCGGACCCGAGTTACCCCGGATATTTCGGGCGTCCAGAGCCCCGAATCATCAGGGGTAACTCGGGTCAGGGCTAACTCGGGTTCGTTTTTCGGGAACCCAAACCCGAGTTACCCCGGACCCGAGTTACCCCGGATAACTCGGGCGTCCAAGTGTGTGTGTGTGTGAGTCTTCCACTGCATGTTGTCCCGGCAGGCCCGATTCCAAAGGCTGTTGCCTCACCCACCCAGTCTCAGCGAAGGCTGGCCCGTTTTCACCGGCGGTGGTCGTTGTTCCTTCGTTCGTTCCTCCCTCTTCTTCGCCTGTCTGTGCAGGCCTTCATGCCCGTCGGCTTGGCCCCTCCCCATGCCCAGTCGAGCGCTGCTCAACATCACGGCGGTTCTCCGTGATGCATTTTGTCGGGTCCACTCGTGGAATTGCGTCCGTTGGTTTCATGGTTGAGCGCCTTCGTACAGGAGGCAGCGTATGTTGCGACAGAGTAGGGAAGACACCCTGGGAGAGGACGAGGAAACATTGACGACGACAAAATGCTGTGCAATATCAGGTACCCTCGGTGTGCTGGTTTGCTGGGTATACAGGGCTTCGCACAGTGCCCGCCGCCTGCCCGTCCCATCCGTGTTCTGTGTGTTCCGGGTGCTCGCCTGATGCCCGTCTCGTGCCCCAATCGGTTTGTGCCTCGCAATTCAGAAGAAACGCATCGTTTGCACCCCATTCTCTGCACCGCATAAGTTGCAACACACAGATTGCGCCAAATAGTTTGTACATCACATAATTGCACCGCGTAGACTGCGCCCCATAAGTCAAGGCAAGCAGCTCGCACCACATGGTCTGCACCGTATACTCAAGAGGCTCACGCCATTCCGCTGAACCTCGCTCGGAGGGACCCCGCCTCAAACGAGATGTTGGACCCCAGGTGATGGGGACAGGAGAAGGGGGAACGTCCATTCATCTCCCACGCCTTCTCATTTCCTGTATTGGGAGTCAGCGGATGTTGTACCCCTTTAGATTGCAGGACGTAGTTGTCTCATTCCACAGTTTGCGCTGGATATCTTGCACCACGTAGATTGGACTCCACAGGTTTCACAGTATACGTTGCACCCCACAGTTTGCGCAACATAACTAACATCGCATTGTTTCCACCAGATCTGCACTACACTGGTTGCAACACAGATACTGCACCACAAATAGTGGTTCAAGAACCCACTGTTCGGGGTCGACGCTGGCAAACATATGTTGATACTAATCTGGGAAAGGTGGGCGCTGCGTGGTACAGTCTGACTTAGTCTGGTCCTGTCCGCAGCAGCCTGGCCTCTGTGAAGCAGCGTAGTCCGGTTGCTCAGTCTGCGTGCTTGTCTGGCACTGCGGCCAGGCTGCCACGTGCCCTACCGCAACTCGCGGCTGACAACGTTGCTGAAGGATTCCCTCGGGGGCAACTCGAAGGCATCCGTCCCACCTCTCTGCTCTGCACGCGCCGAAGAACAGCTCCTCACGATCCTCGCAGTCGGGTGCAGAGGTCAGGGAGGGAGACGTGGAGGACGAAGGCACAGGTGTTTCTCGCCCTCGGCACGGCGCGAGCCGATGCGGGCACCCCTGGTCGAAGGCCGATGCACATCATGCCAGCCGTTGGCCAGACGAGGGAGTGCCAGGAATCGGAATCGGCCTGGCACGACAGAGTCGAGGGCAAAGATCTGTCGGAGGCCGCCTCTGCCGACCCTGAAAAGAGAGCCGCTTGGGCGAAAGAGCAAGCTGGGGGCCAGAGGCAGTGGCGGCCTGAACACGAGGGCGAACATCGAGCGGTTCTCGACCCATCCCTCCACCTGCGCCTGGCTCACGTCAAGGCCTTGGGGTCATTTGGGGGGGGCCCTCTGATGGCTTCAGTTTAAGGGGTTATGTTGGTAAGTTGGATGCGTCTTGGGGCCTACTGGGAGGAGGAGGAAGAGGAGAAGGAGGAGGAGGAGGAGAGAGAGAGAGAGAGAGAAAAAAAAAAACATAAAAAAGAGGAGGAGGAGGAACCTCTTGGGTGTATTGGGATGATGTCGGAGACGTTGGCTTCCGGCGGCGCGGCAGTGGCGCGCGCTTGGGAAAATTCTGTTGGGGCCGCCTCCGCGATTTGGGAGGCTTGTTGGGCCATATTGGGGTCCGTCTTAAAGGGCTCCTCGGGTTAAGTCGGTCCTGTCCCTTTACAGGAGGAATATTCGGAATAGAAAAATAGTCTGTGGACGATTGTTTGACAATGTTTGACTGTGCTTGAGCATGTTCTGGCTATGTTTAATTCTTCGTCCCAAATCCTCCTGTAGGAGGACACGCCCGACCTAATCCTCGGGCCGCGCTGGACGCTCTTGCGACCGATGCGGCGGAAACGCGAAGCTCACGAAAGAGCCTCAGCCCCGTCGTGCCCACGGCCCGCAGGGGCCGAGCAAAAGTATGCAGAAAAACGTACGTCGTGATTTCTGTCCGCGACGCCAGAGGGTCAGGGTACAACAGCTCCTCCGCCGTCGCCAGCTCCTCCATCGTCGCGGGCCGGGCGTCGTAGAACTCCTCGGCCAGGGGATCCTCTGATCAGCAAGGAGATCCTCTGATCGGCCAGGTCGATTCGAGGAGGGTACCCTAATGGTCTTCGTGTTTGTTGGATGGGATGTTCTTGTGTATCCTGGGGAGGGTACCCTTGGACGTTCTGTGTGTTTTGGCCTGCGGAGGGTCTCATGTTCTTGAGGGATGTTTTTCTGGCCCAGGTCCGGCTGTACCCTTGCCTCGTTGTCCCCTTTTGGGGGTGCCTCTTGGGAGGCCCGCCACCGCTGGATTCGCCTCGAAATCCTAGACAGAATGCACCCCACGAAAGGTCCTGGGAGTAGCGATATCGGTACTTGTTGGTGTCCCCCAAATTGGTCCCAAAACGATCCAGAAGCATCAGGGGCTTCGGCTGTTCCATCGAGAGGTCTGAAATCGCTTGGCCTGCTACACTATTTGTTCACTGCATTTTTTTGTCGACATTTATATGGTCAGGAAGCTCTACGAGTCCCCCGGCGGTAAGAAAGGTTGACGGTTTACCGCCGGCGCCCAGTCGGTCCCAAGATCGTTCGAGCTGCTCCAGACAAGGGGTCATCACCGCCCGGACCTCCCCTCCCCAGGGGTCCCCCAGCGGGGAAGGGATCAAAGAGAAGGGACTGCCCTTCGATTCGATTGCGATTGCGACGGGGGTCGATCCACACCTCGGGCTTGCCAGTTTGGACAGTCCCAAGTGGCCGCAGGGAAAGGGGCGGAGAGTTCCTGGGGACGGACCCCCAGGGTGGCCACAGGGAAACGAGAGCTTCGAATGAGAAAACCCATCGCACACTCCGACAGGGTCGGCGGATTTTGCCGTTAGCGTACACGCGGTCTTCGATGGGAAGAACGCCGCGTTGTATTAGTACGTTTTGTTTGAGTTGCATGCTGCACGTGTCATGGAGGCGTGCAGCGCGCAACTCCACATGCCAGGCTTACGAAGCACGTGGGTGCATTGCAGGTTGATCAAGTCGAATTTCTCAAGACATGATCTTGTCGAAGATTGTGGACGTGTGCAGTCAAAGCCAGCGTTGATGATGCGCCAGTGAAGCAATACGCCCTGGCATCCCTCGGTTCTGGGCGTCGGCATGTTTGTTCTGTTTCCTCAGCCCAGCGGTCGCCTTCACGGTCCTGGCGGCGTTTGATAGTGTCCCCTTCTACGTACGTGTTTCGCACTTTTTAGATTTCATCCGCCCTTGGAGACGGGCAGCATACCGTGCATGTTGAAGGTATACAGCGCAAGGTGCCTCTCGGTCCCAGGTGCCGCCAGTTGTTCGCCCCCGTTTGGAGCCCTCATGGCCCGCTGCACCTCTAGAGGCCACATCTGGATCCCAGGAAAGCCAGGGTCGCCCCAGGCCAAGGCCACCGCTGACAAGCCCGATCCGTGATGGTGGACGCGAGCAGATTCAACGGGGGCTTCCACATTGCACGAGGGAGGACTTCGCTTGTTCTGCTGAAGATATTGGTACGTTGCCGAGGGCCGCGTAGCTCTTCTTGGCCCTCACCTCCCCCACTCCATCTTCCCCTCTTTCTGTTCCATCCCGTCACCAGCATCAGCATCATCAGTATCAGCCTCAGCACCACCGTCATCAGCATCATCATCAACAACAACAGTCTCATCATCATCACCACCATCAGCATCAGCATCAGCATCAGCAGCATCATCATCATCGACATCGTCATCGTCATCGTCATCCCCCCCCTTCCTTCTCACCCCCCTCTTCTATCTCCGTTCCCCACCTTGTCGTCGTCGTCGCTCTCCTCAATCTCCTGGTGGGCACTCCCGACGCTCCTCCACGCCCCTCTCCGGCGGGGGGATGGGCCCAGGGGTGCCATCGGCTTGGGTTGCCCTCGGCTCTCCGCCTGCCGGAGCTCGAGCCCCCCCCTCTCCAGCACAAGGAGGGGAGAGGAGAGAGTGAGCAGGGCAGGGCGTGTGGGGAAAGGGGGGAGGACGAGCACGACCAGGACTGGAACGCAGGGGGGAAGGAGAGCGCAGGGGAGGGGGGCCAGGGGGGGGGACGGAACGGGGGAGAGGCGCCTGCGGGGCGAGGAGAAGAGTGGACGAGGACGGGGACGAGGGGCCCCCTTCGGGGGGCGCCTCCCGACCAAGTGCGGCCGCTCCCTCCCAAGAAGCTGCGCCCCCCCGGGCTCTCTTGGAACGCCCCGCTCACCCTTGCCAGACCTGACAGGAGCCGCGCCTAGACGGTACAGCGATTGCAGGTCACATGCGCGCGGGCATGTGCAGCACAAGCCAGAACCCTGGTCGGGCCGAGCACGCCGGCGTCAAATCTGCCTCAATCGTGCTGCTCCCCTTTCATTTGCAGCCACCTGTGCCCGAGAAAGCGAGGCTGGTCTTGAGAGCTGGCCTCCTCCTCCCCCCGCTGCGTGCCTTCGCCGCCCTGGCTCGGGCCATCTTGGCCCGGGACCGCCCAGCCCGCCGCCTGGCTCGGGCCGAACGAAAGGGGGAGATAGGGACAGGGGGGGGGTACGAAACCTGCTGCATGCAGCTGGTTGCGGCCCCGCCGCCGGGCCCATGCCTCGATGCATGGGCACCTCCCGGCTCCGGGAGTCGCTGGGAGAATCAGCTGCGTGAGCTCTGGACGCCCGAAAGGGGTACGGAAAGAATGGGCACATTTGGAACAGGAGTCGCTGTCCGCGCCGCCGCGGCTTGTGCCCATTCGAGACAGAAGGCCGCCTGCCCAACAGCGGCCGCTGTTGGTTTGGGACAAAATATTTGTTGTTGGGCAGTGTACCCAGTATTTCCGTACCCATTCCGGGCGTCCAGATGAGCTGATGATTTGCCCTGCCCTGTGCTGTCCCCCCCTTTCGCTCCCCCCGCCCGGCCCTCGGTCGCACGCGGGCTTCCTTGGGGCCTCCGGCGCGTGGAGAGAGAGGAGCAGAGCACGTCGGTGTTGCTCGCCGCGGTCGGCCCCGCGGGGCCGTCGCCGTGTACCCTAGGGCCGTGACGAGAATGACTTTCAGGAGGAAGAGAAGCACACAGACACAATTCATCGTCGACTCCCAGGAAAATATGGGAAAATTGGGGGAGTGGGGGGAAGACAAAGACCCCGAAAATCTGGGAAAATATGGGGGATCCTGTTATTTGTGTGTGTATCTGTTTGCGTGTCCCAGGGCCCCTGCAATGACTTGGAGTGCAAAGCCAGCCCCGGGGAGAGTCGGCGGCGAGCGAGGGGGGGGCGAGTGAGAAGGATTGGGTCGGGCGTGTCCCCCTACAGGCGGATATTGGCCGAAGGATAAGACATAGTCAAAAAAAATGCGCCGAGATGATCAGACATAGTCATGGTATGTTATTGCTTACAAACACACACACACACACAAAAAAAAAAAAAAAAAAAAAAAAAACTGTTTTTGTACTATTTTAAGACATTCCTCCTGTAGAGGGACAGGCCCGACTACTGAGGAGGGGCGGGCCTTCTCAGAAGTCTCGGGAGTCCCCCGGCTTTCTGAGAATCGAAGCCTTCCCCGAAGACCGAAAAAAATGCTCAGAAGGAGCGCCGGGCTTCTGAGAAGTCCCGCCGACTTCTGAGAGAAGGCCTTCGCCTTCTCATGTCCCCCCCTCGCTCGCCGCCGAGAGAGGGACGGGACTTCGGGGATGCCGCATTGAAAAGCAATGTGTCGGACATCTGGGGTCTCTTCTCTCCCTCGGTCTCCTTGTTCTCTCTGTCCCGTCCGAGTGAGCGGCCATGCATGCTGCTGGCACCGAGCCAGCAGGGCCTCCAGAGGGACTGATCCTGGGCTCAGTGGCGGACACCGCTCTCGTGGATGCAGCGCTGGCCGAGATGGGGCCGAGGTTCCAGGGCGGCGCCACGTTCGAGGCGGGCATCAGCTACAAGATCATGGAGAGCAAGGGCCGCCGCTCCGTGGGCCTCCCGATCGCCAGAGTGCCTGCGACGTGGGAGCTGATCCTCGCCGCGATGGCGGCGCTGCGCCGCGATCTGCCCGCGGACCCCGCCGCCGACGCCAACGTCATCTGCCGCCGCTACGCTGCCGGAGACCGCCTCGGGTTCCACCGTGACGCCGTGGGTCTCTTCGGGGGAGAGGTCTTCGGCGCGGTGCTCACGGACTCGGGCCCAGGGCTGGTGTTCCGGCGCGGCGCGGCGGCGGAGAGGGAGGACCGCCCTGAAGCAACCGGGTCTTGAGGGAAACGCGCGGGGCCAGGACCGGGACAACCCGTTCTGGAACGGCCGCGGCGCCCAACAGTTTCCACACCCGCTTGATGCTAAGGATCCCCGATGCATCCCAATCCGACTCTGTCTTGGTCCTGGCCTTGCCTTAGGAAAGCAGGTCCCGAGGTGTTTCGCCGCTTCGGGCCTCCGTGGGCCCCAGAACTGTGCGAAAACATCTCGGGACCAGAAGCTGGGAAAGCCTGGGAGCCAGGGCCCATTTCCTTCGGGATCCGCCTGCATCACGCCGAGAGGAGTACGCGGTCCCAGAGAGGCGCGGGGCGGTGTTCCTGTCGGGGGGCGCGAGCCGCTACGCCTGGTGCCACGGCGTGCCTCCTCGACCAGAGGGCAGCCCGGAGAGGGTGAGCGAGAGGAGCCAGAGTCTGCATAGGCATATACAGTGGGGGCGCGCATCAAGAAACCAGATGCGGTTCGTCGGGGTACCCTGGGTTTCTTCGCTCCCCGCGCTGCGCGGTGACTTCCCGCGGCCGTCACAGAGGCTGCTGCGTTCAGGGTGCTCTGGGCTTCCCCTCGGGTGCACCTCGCGCGCGTGCTTTCGGGGGGGGACTTGCGAGGGCCCCCGCCGCGCCCGCACTGCAGTCAAGACGCTGAAAGAAGGACCACTTGGGGGCCCTGGAGGGGCTCGGGTTCGGGGGCCGCTCCTCAGACCCAGGTCGGAGGACCCGAGGCTCGCCGCGGCCGAGAAAGCCTTTCGTTCCCCCACGCCGCAGCCCTCCCAGGAAAGCACCAGGACTGTGCACCCTCGGAGCTCCGCGCGGCCTGCTCGGGTCGGCGGCGCGGGCCCCGAAGGGTTCGGTGGTGCTCGTGCCGTGCCGTTGTCTGTGCTCCTCTGCGAGCGTCACTTGGCGGTGGCTGCGCCGGAGCAGCGTGCTCTGGCCGAGCCTGGCGGCCCCGGAGCGGGAGCTGTGGCTGCGCGCGTTCCTCGGCGCCTCCCGCGCGGCCGGCTTCGCCGAGGAGGCCATCGCTGCTTTCCTCTGTGGCGCCTCCGGGTGGTACGTCACCAAGAACAGGCCAGCCACAATTGGGGGAGCTGTGGTCCTTACCCCCCTGGGGGACCCATCGATTTCGACTCCCCTCTCGAGAGATCGTCGATGCGATGGGTTCCCCCAGGGGGGTAAGGACCACAGCTCCCCCAGTTATGGCTGGTCGGAAGAACGACCGCATGGGTCCGCGGCTCTCCGAGGCGGACACCTCCAGGGCGTTGGGCGCCCGCGCCGACGGCGCAGGCGGCACCTCGTGGGAGGGCATGCACCGCGCCAGCGGGAGGTGCGCAGATACGCCGCCCTCTGGCCCGGCCGGGTCCATCCTGGGCCCTTGATTCAGAGCCCCGAATCATCAGGGGTAATAACTCGGGTCAGGGCTAACTCGGGTTCGTTTTTCGGGAATCCGAACCCGAGTTACCCCGGACCCGAGTTACCCCGGATAATTCGGGCGTCCAGAACCCCACATCATCAGGGGTGACCCGGGTCAGGGCTATTCGGGTTCCTTTTCCGGAAATCCGAACCCGAGTTACCCCGGACCCGAGTTACCCCGGATAATCCGGGCGTCCAGAACCCCACATCATCAGGGGTGACCCGGGTCAGGGCTATTCGGGTTTCTTTTCCGGGAATCCAAACCCGAGTTACCCCGGACCCGAGTTACCCCGGATAATCCGGGCGTCCAGAACCCCACATCATCAGGGGTAATTCGGGTCAGGGCTAACTCGGGTTCCTTTTTCGGGAATCCAAACCCGAGTTACCCCGGACCCGAGTTACCCCGGATAACTCGGGCACGCGATTGATCGGTGCGCGTGCCTGTGCCACCCTGGCCAAGCCAGGAGTCACGGAGCGCATTCCAATACTCGCAAAAAGGCTTATTCGCAAACGTCCGAAAAAAACACGCTCGCCTCGTTGTAATGGATCGTAAATCCCCCACGGCAGATCCAGACCATCTGCGAGTAGTTTGTTTACGAGTCGTGGAACGCGCTTGCCAAAGGAAGGCGCACATGAGCGCCGATCCTGGGCCCAGGCAGGCCTGGCCAGGATGCCACCGTGACTGGGCCTTTGACCAGGGGCCTTTCGCAGGCCACTTGGGGCCTCTTTGATGCCTCTCGGGGGCATCTTGGGAGCCTCCTGGGGGCATCTTGGGAGACTCCGGGTGCCTCTTGTGCGCCCCTTTCGGGACCCGGAGGCGGTCTCGGCGACCATCGCGTGGTGGAGGGCTCGGCATTTCGATTCGTGTTCCCCCTCTTAGGGCCATCTTGGGGGCCTCGGAGGACCATTATGGGCGCTCGTAAGGCCAAAAAGGCGAGAAGGTTCAAGTCGTGGGAAAAGCACTGCTTTCAATGGATTCAATGAAACTGTTGGGGTGGTCGAAGGCCTCTAAGTCGTCCCAAGAGAGTTTCAGTGAGGCCCCTTGAGGCGACGGAGGGTTCCAAGACCCTTTCGACCGATGTTTGAAAGGTTATGAACGGGTGCAGTAGGCGGTTCGGGCGAGCTTAGCGTCCCTGAGGGCCACAAGGGCAACGCGCAAGTGCATAGGAGCGCTTGTGAATTGTTGGACGTCGGTAGTCTGGGCTTGAGAGAATCCTACAACTTGAGAGTAAGCCCATAATTCGTCACATGATTGTTTATGAGCCTTGAGCAACTCCACTGATGAAGGCACGGTGGAATGTGCCCATATAGTTAGCGCCCGCCTATTCTGGTAGATCCACTGCTGGAGCCCAGCCTGCCAGCCCGTTCGGGTCTAGTCTTGTTTATTGCGGCTTAAGATCCGATTGATCATTGCAAACCCTTCATATTGCCCACTACAGCTTGCGAACACGTTCGGGGAGGGATGTTCTAGGGGAGATGTCAAGATCCTGGCGAGGTTGTCCAAAAGGTTATGCGAGGGGTTGTCCGGCCCACCGCCATGCCCAGGGGGTAGTTTGGAGGGGAGGTCCAGCGTTGTTGATGTCAAAATCGCATGGTACACGTACGTCTTGTATCCCAGAAGACAGCTACACGTCCTAGTCGCACCCGCGAGTTACTTTTTTTTTACCGTTTGGTTGCCAAGACGCTTCGCACTGCGGTGCGTCTTCCCTTGTTGGAGATCCGCTTGGTTCTTGGACAAGAGATGCTCTTGTTGAGGAGTCATTAATAAGAAAAGCGATAATAGTAATAATAATAAGAAGAAGAAGAAGAATCATAATAATAATAGTAGTAGTAATTATAATAATAACAGTACGAATACTAATAATAATGATAAGGATAATAAGAATGCTATATTCCGTTCGTGATTGCTCGAGCTCGATTGCTTGCCCGCCCCTTTGACATCAACACGGCCTGCGAGCCGGCGAGCGCGTCGTCGGCCCACCCACGAGTTGCCCCCTCCCGAGCGCCTTCTCCGGGCGGAGGGCCGGGTGACGTTCAGAGTGCCGCTCGGCCCAGGAAGCCGCCAGCACACGAGAGCGGGCGAGGGGATGTTCGACCCGAAAGCGCCCACGTGAGCGACGCTGAAATAGTCGGCGGCGAGCGAGGGGGGGAAGCGAGAAGGAGAGGGGCCTTCTCGGAAGGTTCGGAAGTCCCCCGGCCTCCTGAGAAGTCTTCGAAGGCTTCCCCGAAGACAGAAGATACTTCTCAGAAGGCGCGAGCGCTTCTGAGAAGTCCCGCCGCCTTCTGAGAAGGCCTTCTCCTTCTCATTCCCCCCCTCGCTCGCCGCCAGAATGCGGGTTCGGTTGTGCCGACGTTCGTGCGCAGGCTTCCCGCGTACGGTCGCGCGTCGGCGCGCCCTCCTCTCCGCGCCGTGTGCCACGCTGGGCGGCCCGCGTGAGCCACGGCGTGAGGTCGCAGTGTCGTCTCGCGTAGGACCCGTTTTTTTTTCTTGTTCGCCGCACACGTACTCCTGATTTCGTGATAAAAGGGAGGGGGTCTGGACCCTCCAAGACAAGCCAATTCAGACTCCCCGTGGGAGAACCCTCCAAAACATCGTCCCCAGACCCCCCCAGGCCCTCCAAGGTAGCCTGGAAGAGACCCCCCCCGAAATGAGACCCCCCTCCCTTTATTACGAAATCTGGAGTAGGTACTCCAACTCGAGCCCCGTACCCGAAGAAAGCGCTCAGCTCCCAGAGACGGCCCCCCGCACTACGCACCCGTGGCCCGCCGCGCGGACCTCGGCGCCCAGCTGCTGGAGCTCACTGTCGTTGAACTCGTCCCCGTCCCCCCCGGGCCATGGCATCTCGGCCGCACCATCCCACCGCCCCAGTTGGGGGTGGGCCTCTCGGAGCCCCAAGGGAGCGGCCTGTCTTCCCATCCAGGGGGGCAAACCGGCCAGTGGGGCCCAGGCCATGCCAGTGAGGAAGGGTCGGGGGAGCGTAAGACCCGGGTTTGCCAGGACTCGGGTTCGCCATCGTTTTTTGACGACCGCGCCTCGGATTTTGACGAGGAGGAGTTTCGTGGGATGTCTGCAGCGGGAGGCCTAGTCAAAATGCAGGCTCGGCCTCGTCATTTTTTTTGACGACCTCGTTGGGGATTTCCGAGTCCCCTGTACCCAGGTCTTACGTCCCCCTGAAAGGGGATCGGTCAAACGCTGCTCAGGAGCACTGGGACGCCACCGCGGCGACGGCCGCGGCCGCGGCCGCCGCCGCCCTGCCCGCGGCGGGCGCCGTGGACGGCCCCAGACGCGGCCGCCGCGCGGCTCGTGCAGGCCGCGGGGGTGCCGGCCGCGGCCGCCTCGCCGCGGCCACCGCGGCCGCCGTCGCGGCCGCCTCGCTGCGGCCGGCTCGCCACGACCGCCGCGGCCGCCGTCGCCGCTGCGTTTTCGGCGCGGTTCTCGCGCGGATGGCCCCCGAGGTCCGGGCCGTGCCCAGTTTTTCAGGCCCTTTGGACACTCACAGATCGCTCCGGCTCCAGGGGTGCAGCAGCACGATGCGGTCTGGTGCCCCGGTGCTGAGTTTTCGCGAGGTTGGTGCTGTTCTTGTTGTTGTTGGTGGTGGTGCTGTTGTTGGTGTTGTTGGTGTTGCTGTCGATCTTGTTGGTGGTGATGGTGGTGTTGTTGGCGCTGTTGGTGGTGGTGTTGGTGGTGGTGGTGTAGGTGGTGGTGTTGTTGTCGTTGTCGTTGTCGTTATCGTCGTTGTTGGTGTTGTTGCTGGTGGTGGTGTTGGTGGTGTTCTTGTTGGTGGTGTTGTTGCTGGTGGTGTTGGTGGTGTTGTCGTTGTTGGTGATGGTGTTGGTGCTGTTGCTGTCGTCGTTGTCGTTGTCGTTGTCGTTGGTGTTGTCGTTGGTGTTGTCGTTGTTGTGGCTGTTGTTGCTGCTGCTGTTGTTGGTGTGGTTGGTGTTGTTGGTGTTGTTGGTGTTGTTGTTGAACTCACTATTGCAGAATGAATATTGTTGTTTCCCCCCTCCGGTGGCCATTGTGCTATTTTCAATTAAAGTGCCTGCCCCGGGGCCCGCACACTGTTTGTTTTGCCAGGGAAAGTCACGAGGCTCAAATCGGTTTGTTGGGCCCCGGAATACAACAACAGCGGCTTCCGCCTGAGACTTCCTCACAAGTTATCCAGGACCCCCGCTCCCGCGTGAGATGTCTTCGCATGTTACTCAGGAACCGCACTCTCGCTTGGGACTTCCTTGCAATTTATTCAGGAATCGCTCTCTCGGCGCTCTGGAGTCGCGCTCTCGCTGGGGATTTGCTTGCAACTTACTGAAGAATCGCGCTCTTGCGTTGTAATTCCCCGCAATTTGGTTTCTCAAGCGCCCCGCTCCCGACACTCAGGCAGCCAGGAGTCGCGCTCACGCTTAGGGCTCACTCACAGCTTACTTCGGAATCGGGAGCTCGCTGCCCTTCGTGGACCCCTCGCTGCCCTTCGTGGCCCCATACGCATGCCCTTCGTGGCCCCTTTGCAGCCCTTCGTGGCCCTGTCGCTGCCCTTCGTGGACCCGTTGTAGCCCTTCGTGGCCCCCTCGCTGCCCTTCGTGGCCCCCTCGCTGCTCTTCGTGGCCCCGTTGCAGCCCTTGGTGGCCCCCTCGCTGCTCTTCGTGGCCCCGTTGCAGCCCTTCGTTGCCTCCTCGCTGCCCTTCGCGGCCCCGTTGCAGCCCTTTGTGGCCCCCTCGCTTCCCTTCGTGGCCCCGTTGCAGTCCTTCGCGGCCCCCTCGCTGCCCTTCGTGGCCCCGCTGCAGCCCTTCGTGTCCCCCTCGCTGCCATTCGTGGCCCCATACATCTATGCTCTTCGTGGCCCCCGCTCGTTCGCGCCCGTTGTGGCCCCATATGCATGCACCTCGTGGCCCCCTCGCTGCCCTTCGTGGCCCCGTTGCTGTCCTTGTCCTTGCCCTCTGCGGCCCAATATACGTATACGTATGCCCTTCGTGGCCCCCGCTTGTTCTCGCCCGTCGTGGCCCCGTAGGCATGCCCTTCGTGGCCCCGCTGTCGCCCGTTGTGGCCCCATCGTGGTCCTACGTGGCCCCTTTGCTACCCTCAGTGGCCCCGTCGTTGCCCTCAGTGGCCCCGCATTATCTGCCCGTTGCCCCCGCTCGTTCGCGCCCTTCGTGACCCCATACGCATGCCCTTCGTGGCCCCGCTGTCGCCCTTCGTAGCGCCCTTCCTGCCCTTCGTGGCCCCGCTGTCGCTCTCGCTTTCGCTCGTCGTCGTCGTCGTCGTTGTCGTCGTGGTCGGTCCCCTGTCCGTCCCTCTTGGGGTCGGGTTGCCGACGATCAGCGCTGCCACTGGCCAGGCCGACGGTCCGCGGCCGCCCCGCCGTTTGCTGGGGCCCGGCCTGCAAGGAAAGGAAGGTGTACCTCCCAAAAAGGGTACGATCGATGACGAAGAGGGCGGGTATCGAGGGTTCGGGAAATACGCGTTGAATGACATTCGAGCAGACAAGAGCGAACAGTCTTAAAATGATTGGTGTGATTGTTGATGTCGTCGTCGTCGTTGTTGTTGTTGATGTTGTTGTTGCTGGGTGTTGTTGGTGTTGCTGGTGTTGCTGGTGTTGCTGTTGGTGTTGGTGTTGTTGTTGGTGTTGTTGTTCGGGTTGTTGTTGGTGGTGGCGGTGGTGTTGGTTGTGATGATGATGGTGGTTATGGTGTTGTTGGTGGTGTTGGTGATGGTGATGGTGTTGGGGTTGTTGCTGCTGCTGCTGTTGGTGTTGTAGTTGTTGGTGTCGGTGTTGGTGTTGCTGTTGCTGTTGTACATGGTGATGTTGCTGCTGCTGCAGTTGCTGCTGCTGCTGTTGGTGTTGTTGTTGCTGCTTTCTCCCACGCCGGATCTCCTGGGTAATCGCGTCCGGGAAGCAGGCTCCAGTCCCGAGGGAAGCGGGCCCAGGGGCTGCGTTGTGGGGCCTTCCACGGGTCCCGCAGGGCTGTCTGAAAACGACTGAGGAAGAACAGTCGGCCCTGCTAATCGTTTGGGTGGGTCCACGTCTTCCTCGGTGGGGACCAGCGAGGAGCATCTTGGATCATACTGCGAGAAGCAACACGCGAAGTCGAAACATGCACGGGGAATCGACGCCCGAGCGATGGCAAGCCTGCGTGTCGGCCCTGGGGTGCAGGACCCGTTTCCCTCGGAACTCGCTTCGCCCATGCCAAAGAATCGGACAGCAACACCGCCGACCAGTGGGGACGCGCATCAAGAAACCGAAGGCTTTTCATCAGGGTACCCCCGGGTTTCTTCGCTCTGCGCGTGGCGCGGTGATCTCCCACAGCAGTGGAAGGAGCTGTTGCGTTCAGGGTCTTCGCATGTCGCGCTTGCGGGTTTTCGGGTCTGGGGTCCTTGCGATGGTTTCTTTGCGGCCGCGTCCGCACTGTCACGATGAGATCTCGGAGGCCCGCGAGGCTTGTCTCGGGCCAGCGCCGGAGCCTCCCCGGCAGCGCCTCCTGCGCCGCCCCCAGCGTGCTCCGCGCACAGGGGCTGGGGTGCCCCCTGCGCCGCTCAGAGAAGCCCGCGCGGGCATCCGAAAGCCTATGTTTGCGGTTGTGGAGTTGTTGCTCCCCCTTCTGGGGGACGGGGGGCGGGCGGAGGAGGCGGCAGCTGAGGAGGGAAGGCCGGGGGGCGGAGGAGGAGGAGGAGACAAAGATTCGGATACCGCTGCCTGGTACCTGGCCCACGTCGCCACGGCTTGGTTCGACTCGAAGTCCAGGTCAGGACGCCCTCCGTAGGAGAGGTCCGTGGGAGCAGGTATCGGTGCATACTTGGACGATGTTACTACTCTGTTGTAGCTCGTCTCTGGTGTGTGCCGTCGCACGTAAGTCGTCAGTGAGGAGCCCCTGGAGAGCCCCATCCAGTCTGAAGTGGGGTATGGGCATTGCTGCCAAAAAAAGGAGGAGGAGGAGGAGGAGGAGAAGAAAGAGGAGGGGAGGGGAGGAGGAGGAGGACGAGGACGGAGGAGGAGGAGAGGAGGAGAAAAAGAAGAAGGAGAGGAGGAGGAGAAGGAGAAGAAGAAGATGAGGAGGAGGAGGGGAGAGAAGAGAGAAGAGGAGGAGGAGGAGAAGGAGGAGAAGGGAGAAGGAGGAGGAGGAATAGGAAAGGAGGAGGAAGGAGGAGGTGAGGACGAGAGGAGGAGGAGGAGGAGAGGAGAGGAGGAGGGGAAGAGGAGGAGAGGAGAAGAGGAGGAGGAGGTAGGAGGAGGACGAGAGGAGGAGGGAGGAGGAGAGGAGAGGAGGAGGATCAGGAGAGGAGGATCAGAGAGGAGGAGGAGGAGGAGCAGGAGGAGGAGGAGAAGGAGGAGCAGGAGGAGGAGGAGGAGGAGGAGGTGGCTCCCCGACCCAGGCCACCCAGCCTTCGTGCCTGGCGCCCCGCCTGGCGCCCCGCGCGGCCATTTTCCCAAGACCTCCCGCCCCTGAGATCCCGCCCTCGCCGATCAACTATTCAGGCAGCGCGATGGGCGGCTGGGGGTTCCTCCTCCTCCTCCTCCTCCTCCTCCTCCTCCTCCTCCTCCTCCTCCTCCTCCTCCGCCTCCTCCTTCGGAATTCGCCGAACAAGTTGCAGCATCGGAACAAAAACACGCCTGGAGCCCCAGACCCCATCTCTGGCTGTGTCATGTTTCGAGCCAGCTCCATCTGCGAGGGCCCCCGGGCCCGAAAAAGAAGGCGACGACGACCGGCTCGAAGAGAGCGCAACGCCAGGATCTCAGGGGGCGCCGCCCGCCCGGAGCGGGCCACGAAACGCTGTATTTAGTGGGGGGGGGTCGCACGCGGGCGGAGCTGGGACCTTGGGTGGAGCTCCCTATGGGGCCACGAAACGCTGTATTGGATGAGGGCTTTCGGTGGAGCTCCCTCGGGTGGGGGGGACGCATGCGGGCGGTAGCACTGAGGCCGTCGGTGAAGCTCCTTATAGGGCCACGAAACGCTGTACTGGGTGGGGGAGAGCGCATGCGGGCGGTAGCACTGGGGCCTTGGGTGGGGTTCCCTACTGGGCCACGAAACGCTGTACTGGGCGGGGGTGACGCATGCTGGCGGTGCCACTGGGGCCTTGGGTGGCGCTCCCTATGGGGCCCCGAAACGTGTGAGGGTTGTGCCCAAATGAGGGGGTGACGGGAGGAGGGAGGAGCAGGAGGAGGGGGGGGGGAAGACGAGGAGGAGTGGGAACGCGGAGCGCTGTCTTTTCAAGACGAGGACCCAACACCACAGGATGGTTGGGAAAAAGAGGAGAAGTAAGACGGCGACGAGGAGGACGAGGACGAGGACGAGGACTACGGTCGTCCCCCGAGGATGTCGGCGCGATGGCTTCCCCCCACACCCGCCGCGGTGCCCCCCCCCCACCGCCGAGCACAGGCACGCAGGGGGCGGGCGCCGGAGCGGCCGAGCTGGAGGACTGGGAGCCCCCCGGGCTCTTCACTGGGCCCAGCGAGGAGGACCGCAGGGCCCTGGCCCACCGTGTACCCCCTCCCCCCTTCCTCGTCCTCATCCTCTGCCTTCGACTCCGACTTCCCCCCTAGCCATGCCCCCCCCGCAGACCTATATTCCTCCTCCTCCTCCTCCTCCTGCTCCTCCTGCTGCTGCTGCTCCTGCTCCTGCTCCTGCTCCTCCTCTTCCTCCTCATCCTCCTCCTCTTCCTCCTCCTCCTTCTCCTCTTCCTCCTCCTCCGCATCCGCCTCCGCCTCCGCCTCCTCCTCTTTCTCCTCTTCCTGCTCATCATCATCATCATCATCATCATCATCATCATCATCATCATCATCATCATCATCATCATCATCATCATCATCATCATCATCAACATCAACATCAACATCAACATCAACATCAACATCAACATCATCAACATCATCAGCATCATCATCAACAACAACATCAGCATCATCAGCAGCAGCATCATCAGCATCAGCATCAGCATCAGCATCAGCATCGTCACCATCACCATAATCATCATAGTCATCAACATCATCATCATCATCATCATCATCATCATCATCATCATTATCATTATCATCATCATCCTCTCAGCATGGTCCTCATATGATCAGATTTCTCATCCTCCTCCTTTCCTCCTCCACCTCCTCCACCTCCTCATTATCCTCCTGCTCCTCATCATCATAAGCATCATCACATCATCATAATCCTTGTCGTCGTCATCAGCATCAGCATCGTCATCGTCATCTTCATCAGCAGCAGCATCATCGTCATCATCATCGCCATCGCCATCGCCATCAGCAGAGTCAGCATCAGCAACAGCATCAACATCCTTCTCCTCATTGGCCCCCCCTCCCCCCGATATCCTCTTTACCCCCGCCCAATCCCACGTTCCGTCTACATCCCCCCCATTCGTTTTCCTTCCCCTCCTCTTCCTTCTTGTGTTCCTCGTCTTACTATCGCTTCCCCCTTCCAACTCCTCTTGTTGCTCCTCCTTCTCCTCCCCCTCCTCCTCTCCCTCTTCCTCCCCCTACTCCTCCTCCTCGTCCTCCTCCTCCTCCTCCTCCTCATTTATCCTCCTCATCCTCCTCCTCCTCCTCCTCCTCCTCCTCCCCCTCCTCCATTTCTTGTCCTTATACATAATGTCTCCCTGTCGCACCCCGAGACAAGTTTTTAGGGCGGGCAAGGTGTTTCGCCTGAGACATGTCTCACGATGTACGACCATGAAGTGTAAAAGTTGGCAACCGTTTCACAGATTGAGGGCGGGCCGATTTCAAAGTGTGGTTCTCGCTTTAGCGCCGGGTTCATTCGTTTTGAAAATTTACAAGAGCTTCACAGATTGAGGGCGGGTCGTTTTCAAAGTGCGCTACTCGCCTTAGCGCCGCACACATTCGTGTTGAACATTTGCAAGAGCTTCACGGATTCAGGGCGAGTCGTTTTCACAGTGCGCTACTCGCCCTAGCCCCGCGCACATTCTTGTTGAAAATGTGCAAGAGCTTCACGGATTCAGGGCGGGCCGTTTCCAACATGTTTCTCGCCTTAGCGCCGCGTACATTCGCCTAAACGACTGCAAGAGCCTCACGGATTGAGAGCGGGCCGTTGTCAAATGTGGTTCTCGCTTTAGCGTCGTGCATATTCGTTTAAACAATCGCAGGAGTTTCACGAATTGAGGGCGGTTCCTTTTCAACATGTGATTCTCGACTTAGCGCCGCGCACATTCGTTCTAAACGTGTGTAAGAGTTTCACGGGTTCCCATGATCAATGTACCAGACATGACGATTCGGAAGGATTCAGCATTATGAGGGCGCAAGAGTTACATTGATTAGAGATGCCCAGGAATGGCGTTCTGGCACGAGTCAGGATCGTCAAGACGCAACAGTCAGGTTGATCCGTGGCGTTGGCATCCCGAGAACAATGCTTTGGCAGGTTTATGGGTCTTCAAACGGTTGTCCTCCAACGAGGTAGTTCCCTCAGTGGAAACGAACGTTCTATGGGGCCTATGAAGAGGGAGCTTGTAGGGAGGGTTTCTTCCAACATCGTTGGTGACTCTTGGGTTTACATTGGTCCTCCTCCGCCTCCTCCTCCTCCTCCTCCTCCTCCTCCTCCACCTCCTCCTCCTCCTCCTCCTCCTCCTCCTCCTCCTCCTCCTCCTCCTCCTCCCTCACCCCCCCTCCTCCAGTCCCTCCCTTACTCCCCTCCCCTCCCTCGCTCCTTCCTCCCTCCCCCCCACCCCCCCCAATTCCCCCCCCCTCTCTCGGCACCTCCCCGGCCAGGACCGCGTGGCGACCCCGCCCCATGCCGCGCGGCCACGGCCCCGCGGCTTCGCGGCGCTGGCGCCGGCGGGCGACAGTTCGAGCGGCGGCGGCAGCTCGGACGCAGGAGCAAAAAGTGGCGAGAGCGCGGGGGGTCAGAGTCCCGAATCATCAGGGGTAACTCGGGTCAGGGCTAACTCGGGTTCGTTTTTCGGGATTCCGAACCCGAGTTATCCCGGACCCGAGTTACCCCGGATAATTCGGGCGTCCAGAGCCCCAAAATCATCAGGGGTAACTCGGGCGCCCAAGGGGGGCCCGACGGAGCGAAGGCAGACCAGGCACGACTGGGGGAGCCGAGGTCCAAGAGGTCCGATCCTCCCAAAAGAGATGGGAGCTGCCCGTGTTGGGTAAATTTCACCATGAAGAACCAGCCCTGAATCCAGGCTTCCGGGGGGCAAGCACTGAAAAAATTGGGTGCAGGATGTGCGGGATCGGGGAGCCGAGCGATGTCCTCCACCCCACTGGGGGGCCCGTCAGTTTTGGGGTTCCCTTCCGAGAGGTCGTCGATGCTCTGGGCCTCCCAGATGGGGTCGGAGCAGCAGGGGTCAGAGGAATCGCCCCACATCGGCGGTGCACCCGGGATGCGGCTCGATGTGGAGCCCGCTTTTCGGGTGTTGCTAGAAGTGCCCCTGGCCCGAGGTGCCCCCAGCTTTTCGTTCCATTCTGGAGCCCCGGAGGCCCTCTGGGCCTCGTGAGGGGTGCCCCGGAGGCCGTCTGGGCCACCCCGAGAATTTTGAGGCTACTTTGGGCCAGGAGTACTTCTCGCAACACCCGAGTTCTTCCCCGCGCTGGCGCCGCCGATGCGGGGCGGTGCGGGCCGTGCACTGCGCGCTGCACCGGCAAGGCGGGGCGGCGCTCCGGCCCGCTTGCTTAGTAGGGCCCCAGCCGGGAGGCCCCGGCGGGTGGGGAGCCGAGGGCCTCCGCGGTGCCCCTCCGTGGGGTCCCCTTGGGGTCCCTGGCGCGTCCCCCTCGAGAGGTGACCGCCGGCACGAGGGGCTTTCCCCTCCTCCTCCTCCTCCTCCTCCTCCTCCTCCTCCTCCTCCCTCCTCCTCCTCCTCCTCCTCCTCCCTCCTCCTCCTCCTCCTCCTCCTCCTCCTCCTCCTCCTCCTCCTCCTCCTCCTCCTCCTCCTCCTCCCCTCCCTCATCCTCATCCTCCTCTCCTCATCCTCATCCTCATCCTCATCCTCATCCTCATCCTCATCCTCCTCCTCCTCCTCCTCCTCCTCCTCCTCATCCTCCTCCTCCTCCTCCTCCTCCTCCTCCTCCTCCCCCAGGGGGGGGGGCCAAGGGGGACACAGCTCAGGAGGGGAACACAGCACACAGACAAGATCAGCCGACGCTTCTCAGAAAAGTGCGGGAACATCTATGGGAAGTGGGGGGGGGATGGCGAAGATGCTGAAGATAGGAGGGAAGGTAGGGAATCCTGGGAGTTGGGTGCAGTTATCTGTGTGTCCCTGGGCCCCTTGAAGCACAGCTTCCCCCCCTGCGGTGGCTGGCCGGTGGGGAGGGGGGAGGCCCGCGGAGGTCCTCGCGCCGTGGAGCAGTCCCGACGGGGTAGGTGGGTCTGCGGCCTCGGGGCGGGGGGGCGGGCCCGAGCACGAGCGCGAGCCCGAGCGCGGGCCCGACAGCTCGAGCCGGGCACGTCCTGATCTGGAGGTCTGGTCTTCTCGCCTCTCCAGCTCTCCTCCTCCTCCTCCTCCTCCTCCTCCTCCTCCTCCTCCTCCTCCTCCTCCTCCCCTCCTCCTCCTCCTCCTCCTCCTCCTCCTCCTCCTCCTCCTCCTCCTCCTCCTCCTCCTCCTCCTCCTCCTCCTCCTCCGTCACCTCCTCTCCTCCTCCGTCTCTCCTCCTCCTCTCCTCCTCCTCCTCCCTCCTCCTCCTCCTCCTCCTCCTCCTCCTCCTCCTCCCCCTCCTCCTCCTCCTACGTCCTGGTCTGGAGGTCTGGTCTTCTCGCCTCTCCAGCTCTCCCGCCTCGCGCGCCGCCAGGCCCTCATGTTCGTGAACGTGTCGCCGTGCGCGCGTCACCTCGGCGAGACCCTGTCGTCGCTGCGGTTTGCGGCCAAGGCCCCCGCCCCCGCCGGCCTCCGGGCGGGCGCCCTCCCCGACAGCCGCGGGCGGCGCCCCGGACCCCGCGGCGCGAACCGGAGCAGGGCCAGTGGAGACAGCGGCGGCCCGCCGTGGCCTTTGCTTGCAACTCTCGGGCCTCCTGGGGGCTTCTCGTCACCCCGGCTGGACCGCGTCGGAGAGCCGGTCAGGATGGGCCCCTGCCCGCCGGATCCGCGCGGGAAGGGTCCAGGGTCTGATCCTGAGCGTCTTCGGGACGGGCGTGGGAGCCGTTGCTGTTTCCACTGGCCCTCCTCCGATCGAAGCTCCAGGGTCCCGTTCGGATTCGGGATTCCAGGATCGAGGTCCAAGGATCGGGGGCCGATGTCCCCACTGCAGGGTCAAGCTCCGAGGTCCCAGGATCGATGATCGGGGGCTCTCGTCCCAGGATCCAGATTCGAGGCTCTGGGGTCAAGGATCGAGGATTCGAGGATCTCAGGAGCATGGCCTGAGTTCCGCGGATCAAGCATCGAGCAAGCATCGAGTTGTTCGATGGTGCTTCTCACCCTCTGGTGGCGCTCTCGTCCCCGCTGACGGATCCCACACGAATCGAAAAAGAATAATTGCATAAACGGTATGTTTCGGAACCCTGCGCGCATGTCTTGGATCGGCGCTGGAGCACCCCTGGCGGCGCCCCCGGCGCCGCCCCTGGCGCGCTCCGCGCGCCAAGAAGAGGGGCCCAGCCCCGATCCCCGAATCCAGGAAATCCGCGCGGACCTCCGAAAGATTTCGTTGGTGTGCGGGTTTCGTCCTTTCTCGAAGCCCTGACCTGAGAGCACCCCCCGACAGGGCCAGGGTGGATGGTGGGCCGCCGGGCCCCGGGCCCCCCCGGCGCGCCGTGAAGGAAGGGAGTCAGGGCTGCGGGCCGCAGGGCCGCTGTCGGCCTCCTGCAGGGCCCTCGCACCCGGTGCCCCTCGAGGGCCGTCGGAGAGGTCCTCCTCCTCCCCCTCCTCCCTCCTCCTCCTCCTCCTCATCCTCCTCCTCCTCCTCCTCCTCCTCATCCTCCTGCAAATCCTCCTCCTTCTCCTCCTCCTCCTCCTTCTCCTCCTCCTCCTCCATCCCTTCCTCCCGCTCCGACGGCCCACGTGTGTGCAGGAGGAAAAGGCACCCGTACCGCTACCCTCCGCCCGTTCGCCTTTTTGGGGGGGCTCTTGGGAGGCCCTCGTCGCCACGGTCGGCTTCGCCTCGAAATCATGGTCAGAACGCACCCAAGGAGAGGTCCGGGGCGTAGCGGTATCGGTACCTTCTGGTTCAAGGGGGAATGGTTTCAGGAGGGCTCGGTAGCCAATCATGGGAGCCTTGTAGCGCCGATGAGCGTCTGGCAATCGATGAGATAGCGCCGAACTCGCATCGATGTGCGTTGATTCACAAGAGCCAGCGACATGGTATGGGAGGCTCCCGTGAGTTGCCACCGAAGGGGGGAAGGGATGTTTCGACCCTAAATCACCCATGTGTCGCCGATGGGGGCCCGATGGCCCACCCCGCAGAGGAACACGCGGATTCGCCGTCGGAGGCCTGTCGTCGATCTGTCGGCGATCTATCGCCGATTACAGATCATGGCTCCCCCCCTGAGCCGGTCCCCCCCCGATCGTTACCCTTCAGATGACAGGTTGGTCCCTGGGGGAGGGGGCCTCCAGGGCTGCCACGTGGGGCTGGAGTAGATGGGGTCGGACGATCGCGCCACGATCGTCGATGCTTCGCCGATGCGGCTCGATGTATACAGCCCGATTTCCTTCACGATACGGTGCGATCCTCCGATCCCATCTACCCGGACCCCACGTGATGGGGTCCAGGCCTTCCATAGGGGGTGGCCCTGGTGAAAAAGGCCGCGGCGCTGGGGAGGCTATCCTGGAACCCCTCGACCTCTGGCACGACGCAGCACACAGAAGAAAGGACGGCCGATTCCTCTCCGAGCTTTTCGCACGCCCCCTGCCAGGCCCGCCGCCTCGGGCGCTCGGGGGCCGATTCGGATGCGGCCCAGCGCCGGGAAGCCGGCCACAGGCCAGCCATCGGCGCTTTCCGCAGGTGCCTCTGCTGAGGCCTTCCGCTCGGCGCGCCGAGGGGGCTCGGGGCACAGATGAGAGTTTCGCCCCCGAGGCCCGGCTCTCGCCCATGCCCCAGCCCTGGGCGGGACCGGGGACGTTGGGCGCAGCGTCGGTCGCTCGATCTCCGTGGGCGGGGTCGAGGGCCCCCCGCGGCCGACGGGACGGGCCGGCGTTCGCAGGCCGACCGATCCGCTTTCCGCCGCGCGGTGCGTCCTCCACCCTCGGCCAGCAGTGCCACGAAGCTACACAGAGGGGGCGCACATCAAGAAACCGGATGCTTATCGTCAGGGTACCCTGGGTTTCTTCGCTCCGCGCGCTGCGCGGTGACTTCCCGCGGCCGTCAAAGAAGCTGTTGCGTTCATTTTTGCTCAGGGTTTCCCGTCAGGTGCACCTCGCGCGCGGGTTTTCAGAGTTGGGTTTTTTGCAGGAGTTTCTTGCGACCGCGCCCGCACTGTATCACGCATCGCGAGACGTGCTCTCCGCCCTCCGACCGCCTGCATCCCGCCGATTGGCCTGTGGGAATGTTGGCTTGGAAGTGTGGCATCACGATCCTCGGCGTTTCTGCAGGCTCTCACTGTCACGGCTGGACGCAGGATTTGCCAGGATGGATCCCAGGATGTTGAGGATGCACGGACGATCTTGCCCCGTATCGGACCCCAGGGCCATCGCGGACTGACCCAGTCCATAACACGCCTCACAAAGACGGGGTTGGGGGCGTTGGTCGTGAGTCCCCATTCGAAGAGTAAAAATTATCCCGGCAAAGCAACCTAACAGCAATGTGTAGGAGCATATCTGGAAGCATTCCCCTTAAGATTCAGATGAGAATCCAGTTGTAGAATTCTGCTGTTCTCGCAGTCGTAGTCGCATTCGCGATGACAGTCGCAGTGGCAACGGCAGTCACAGTCACAGCCTCAGCCTGCCTCAGCCTCAGCCTCAGCCTGCCTCAGCCTCAGCCTGCCTCAGCCTCAGCCTCAGCCTGCTTCAGCCTCAGCCTCAGTCTGCCTTCAGCCTCGGCGTCAGCCTCAGCCTGCCTCAGCCTCAGCCTGCATCAGCCTCAGCCTCAGCCTCAGCCTCAGCATCAGCCTGCCTCAGCCTCAGCCTCAGCCTGCCTCAGCCTCAGCCTCAGCCTGCTTCAGCCTCAGCCTCAGTCTGCCTTCAGCCTCGGCCTCAGCCTCAGCCTGCCTCAGCCTCAGCATCAGCCTGCCTCAGCATTCAAAATGTGGCCCGGGAATGGAGTTCTGGGAACTCGAAGAACACGAAGTGGCCTACAGTTGGCTCCGGGCATTCAAAATCATGCCCAGGAATGGAGTTCTGGGAACTCGAAGAGCACGAAGTGGCCTACAGTTGGCTCCGGGCATCCAAAATGTGGCCCGGGAATGGAGTTCTGGGAAGTCGAAGAGCACGAAGTGGCCTACAGTTGGCTCCGGGCATCCAAAATGTGGCCCGGGAATGGAGTTCTGGGAGGTCGAAGAGCACGAAGTGTGTGACTGTTGGCTCCGGTTATTCAAAATGTGGCCCGGGAATGGAGTTCTGGGAGGTCGAAGAGCAGGAAGTGTGTGACTGTTGGCTTAAAACGAGCCGGGTGCTGTTCCCGGTTCTCCTCCCCGGCACCCGCCCAGACCCCCCTGAGGAGTCATGATGCTCTCTTTTGACCCTACTAGAAGCCTATCAGCAAAAGCTGTTAGGTAAAAACCATGAACATGAATGTTCGACGGTCTGCGCGAATTTCTTGGATCCACCCTGGCCCCCCCTCCTTGGCGCGCGGGGGGGGGCAGAAATCCACACGGACCGTCGAAAGTCACGACGCCGATCGTGCTCAAAGCCGATGCCCTGCCAATCGTGCTCAATGCTGATTTCCTTATGGGATCTGTGAGCCAACCGTGCTCATGCCGATTCCCTGCCGATGCGCCGTTGCGTGGCGCCTGGCTTGAGCGACTGACACCCGCGACGCCAGATCTCCGCCCGCGTCCTCCTGTTGAGCGTCGCGCAGCGGGGGGGGGGGCGTTGTGAGTGGGGGGGGGGGGTCAGCGAGGCCTGCCTTGCAAAAAAGGGGCCACTGGGGGCCCCTAAGACGAGCCCCCTATCGGGGGAGCGTAAGACCCGGGTTTGCCAGGACTCGGGTTCGCCATCGTTTTTTGACGACCGCGCCTCGGATTTTGACGAGGAGGAGTTTCGTGGGATGTCTGCAGCGGGAGGCCTCGTCAAAATGCAGGCTCGGCCTCGTCATTTGTTTGACGACCTCGTCGGGGATTGCCGAGTCCCCTGTACCCAGGTCTGACGTCCCCTTGACCCTAGGGCCAGAAGGGGACCCCCCAGGGCCCGAAAGCAAGGCGCAGCCCTCCTCCCGCCCCCCACCCGCTCGCCGCCCCCAGCTGCCTCCCCGAGCCTGCCTCGCTCCGCGCAGGGGCCCGCTCTCGAGCCGCCCATCCCTCGCCGAGGTCGGCTGCTCTCGTCGGGTTCGGCTCGGAGGAGGAGGAGGAGGAGGAAGAAGAAGAAGAGGAGGACGAGGAGGAGGAGGAGGAGGAGAAGGAGGAGGAAGAGGAAGAGGAGGAGGAGGAGGAGGAAGAGGAGGAGGAGGAGGAGGAGGAGGAGGAGGAGCCGCGGTCGGTCTCGGGGCCGCCGTCCGAGGGTGCAGCTGCCGGGAGACTGCAGTCCACATCGGCGCGGGCAGAGCCCTGGTGGAAGACCGGCCTGGTCTGGCCTCGTGCCGCCCGATCCCGACTGTTTCGGCTTGATCCCGATTGTTCTGGCTTCATCCCGCTGAATGTGGCAGAATCTTGTGCTCAGTTCAGTCCAATCCGGCTCAATGGCCCCTGAGTCGGGCTCAAAAGCCCTTCACCGTCCTGACGAAGACCTCCCAGGAGTTGCCTTCTGAGCTGTCCGTGTCGGTCTCGGTATATGATATCCCTTCAGAGCGTTCCGGGACGCTCTGAGAAGACTGCGGCGCCCGAGACTTCTTCCAGAGCCGTTGGGCCTCTTAGATTCTCGATCTATCCTCGCCCGGTGTTGACCGCGTCTTGGCTTGGGTCAGGTGGAGGGGGGAGGGCTTCTTAGAAGCACCCTTCTCCTCAGAAGGCGCGGGCCGTATCTGCAGATGTAGGGCCAGCGCCGCGTTCCAGGAAGCCTCCTTCTGAGAAGCTGCCCCCTCCCGCCCTAGCCCACGGCAGAAGCCAGACGTTGCCTCCCCCCCGCCGTCGTGATTTTCCCTTGACCCGAGGGGGGCTGGGCTCCCCCACTGGTCCTCCTCCTCCTCCTCGTCCTCCTCCTCCTCCTCCTCCTCCTGCTCCTTCTCCTCCTCCTCCTCCTCCTCCTCCTCCTCTCCTCCTCCTCCTCCTCCTCCTCCTCCTCCTCCCTCCTCCTCCTCCTCCTCCTCCTTTTGATCAGAAAGGCACCACATCTGGCCACGAGCCGCCCCCCCCCCCCTCCCCAGAGGGGCCCCCTTACGTGACCAGGCCGTGGCCGTGGCCGTGGCCGCGGCTCGTCGCGGTGTCGCCCCCGCTCTGGCCGCCAGGTGCACGGATGCAACGTCGGGGTCGCGCGGCGGCAGGCCGCCGAGGGCCCGCGAGGCGACAGGTAGCGCAGGGGCGAGGCCGCGCAGGCCGTCGCGGCTGCTCGGTCGGTGCTGCCCAAGATTCGAAGAAGAAAGAACGCCATAAACATGAGCTTTTGGCCTTCGCGCGGACTTCTTGGATCCGCGCTGGCCCTCCCCCCTGGGGGGCGCCTCCGGTGCCGCCCCTGGCGCCGCCCGCGCGCCAGGGAGGTGGGGGCCAGCGCAGACCCAAGAAATCCTCGCGGAGCGCCGCAAGTTTGTATTTATGTGTTTTGTTGTTCTTCTTCTAAAAATCTGAGCTGGTCGGTCGCAGCGCTTCGCGACGGCGCATCCGGCTGGGGGGGGGCCGTCTCTCGGGGCTTTCACCATGGGGAGGAGCAGAGGATAGGAAGAGGTACCGATACCGCTGCCCTCCCTTCGTTTTGGCCTCCCCCTCCGCTGTATTCGCTTCGAGATTCTGGTCAGAACGCACCCCGGGAGAGGTCCGGGGAGTAGCGGTATCGGTATTTTTGGGTTTCTTCGGAGAAGGGATCCAGGCGTTCTGTGTTTTTCGCAGCCGGCGTTCTCGTCCAGCTTCGGGCCCTGGGGCCTTCACGGATCGATCCGGCTCGAAAATTGGCGAAGGAAGATCGGGTCCAACGTTCTGGTGGTGGTGTTTTGCGAGGCTGCATGTTGTTTGCAGCGTCTGATCTCAGGGACGGAAGGAGGGGGAGCAGAGGAGAAGCAGGGGCAGGGAGGAGGTCGGCGGCAGGAGGAGGCCAGAGGAGGGAGAGGAGGCAGGAGAAGGGAGGACGAACCTCAATCTTTGTGAATTTGCGTCCCCCATCCTCCGTTGTGGTTCTCCTCCTCCGTGGTCTCTTTGTCATCCCCTTCTGCCCAGCTCCCTAGCTAACTGTGGGCGAAATTGTAGACTGATCGCTGCTCCTCCTTCCCATCCCTTCCTCCATATACTTCTCGTCCTCTGCCTCCTTAAATTGAGACCTCACTTCGCGAGGGACAACAGAGGACGACCCACTGAGCCCTCTGTTACTATGGCCGCAGTGGTCATGGATCCAGCGTGCCCGTGATGTTTGGCCATGCCCATCGGTGGGTCGCAGATGAATTGGTTGTAGGAGAAGAACAAGTGACACAAACATAGATAATCTGAGGTCCGCACAGATTTCTCGGATCGGCGCTGGAGCCCCCTGGCGGCGCCACCAGAGCGGCCCCTGGCGCGCTCCCCTAGATTACAGGGATGATGTCAGACGTGCGGAGTATTGCTTTGACGCTTTGACGGCAGGCTTGGAGATCCAGCCCAGCAAGACTAGGATCACGCTCAATGTGTGCGACCGACTTCCGACTGTGCAGTCCAAAGTTCGGGCATGTTGATGGCACGATGACTTGATTTGCACCTTTCTTTAGGGCGCAATTCTATTTGGGTCGGCAGTCCACACCATGTATGTGACCAAGCAGAGGTGCGTATATAGAGATACATGCGCGTAGCTGTAAAGTGTACATATATGTAGAGAGAGAGAGAGAGAAAGTCAGAGTCACGCATCAATGCTACTAGCACGTGGGTAAGCTTTGGCTGGCCAACATGCATGTACTACACAACTGGTAGTTCCTACACGCCCCGGCAAATATACAATGACGCGCCGTTCAAAATCGAGGCGCTCGATGGTTCGGACACTTGTCAGAAATCTAGTTGTTTTCAATGCTGTGAGGGCATTGCCAGGTTTCGGGCACATCTGCGCCTGGGCCATATATGGTCGAGGGTTTGGACCCCCCCCCCTCAATGCTAATGCCATCGCCCCCCCCCCCCTTCTGCGCGATGCCCCCCCCCCCCCCTGTGGGCGTGGGCGTGGCGTGGTGCCTACCCCCCCCCCTGTGGATGTGGTGTGGGTGTAGTGTGTTGCTGTGGGTGTGTATGGGGTGACGCCATGGTCCTCCTCCCCCCCTCCCTCCCCCTCTGTGGGTGCGGTGTGGGTGCGGCGTGTGGCTGGGATTGGCGTCATTTTGACAGCTCCTGTGCTCGACGTCATCGCCGCCGCCGCTGGTGGTGCCGTTGACGTCGTCGTCGTTGTCGTCGTCGTCGTTGTCGTCGTCGTTGTTGTCGGTGGTGTCGTCGTCGTCATTGCCGTCGTTCTCCTCCTCCTCCTCCTCCTCCTCATCCTCCTCCTCCTCCTCCTCCTCCTCCTCCTCCTCCCCCCACCCCATCCCATCTTGGGGGGGGGGCGAGGACCCTGGGACCCATCCCATCTAGGGGGGGGGGGGGGGCGAGGCCCCTGAGCCCGCGATCATACATCTGATGCCTCAATTGGAGTAGCGCCGACCACTGATGCACCGAAAACAATAGTCGTAAGCTTATGCTTGACTCTTCTAGCCCCGCCAAACACAAGTTGACACGCTGTTCAAAATCGAGACGCTCGATTGTTCGGACACGTGTCAGAAACATTGTGCGAGGGCGTTGCCAGATGTCGGACAGCCTTGCGTATGGGACCAAAATTCTAACACCAGGATTGAAGAGGCGCCGACCACACAAGCGCCGAAACAAACAACCATCAGTTTTGTTTGACTAGCCTTAGCCCCGATGAATATCCCCGCCGTTCAAAATCGAGGCGCTCGATGGTTCGGACCCTTGTAAGTAATCTAGTTGTTTTTCAATGCCGTGACGGTATTACCAGGTTTCGGGCACCCCTGCGTCTCGGCCACAAATCTCATGCCTGAATTGGAGTAGCGCCGACCACAGATGCACCGAAAACAGTAGTCGCCAGTGTATGTTTGAACGAGCCTGACCCCGCCAAACATAAGGTGACACGCCGCTCAAAGTCGAGACCCTCCATTGTTCGGACACATATTAGAAATTGCGTTACTCAATGTTGCGAAAGCGTTGCCAGATGTCGGACCCCCTTTTGTCTGGGCCAAAATTCTCACACCAGGAATGAAGTAGCGCCGACCACATAAGCACCTAATCGGAAGTTTATTGTTCACGAGTCCTGTAGTCTGCTACGTTGGTGGCGCAATGATATATCATGCGCGCGTCAAACACATTAGCCATATATCAGGGTGGCCCAGCACCGAAGGTGACGAATGCTAGTGAATACGACACGACCGACGCGCATAACTTCGGCGGCAGCGAACAATGCGAGCGGACCTATATACAACGAAACCACATATCGACATAAGCAGCGATACCCCATTCACCAAGTCGCCTCTCAACTCGACAACGGATGCCGACACCTATTTCGAGCTATGGTACCTACGGGCCACGAGAACAACACGTTAAGTGGCACGCACATTTTCAGGTTGGGCGCGCAGATTTGATCGCCTCCGACAGACGACGTGAATGACTCTGGATATTCAAATTGGCGCATTCCGCCCGGCAGAAAGACGCGCGCCAAAAGATTCCCACACACCTTCGGTTACAAGGGTTCGACGACATCTATTCGACACTGCGACCGTGCCATGCCCTCACTGGAAGTCCCTACGATGTAGCCTCAAATACAAACTGGGGTTCTTGTTTTCTCTGCGCACCCCCCGCGCAGGATCTCCTCCTCCTCCTCCTCCTCCTCCTCCTCCTCCTCCTCCTCCTCCTCCTCCTCCTCCTCCTCCGCCCCATTTCTCGTCCAGTCTCACACACTCAAGCCCATGCCTGGTTTGTGGGTGAGCTGGGACGAAGTCTCAGGCGGGAGCCCTCCCCCATATGAGGCCCGCACTTCATGCTCGAAAGAGCGTGTTCTACCGCTGCTGGCAGAAAACCGGGGGGTGGTCACTGGGGGTTCCTAACCCGCCCCCCCCCCTTAAAAACCGGGGGGGTCACTACCGGTTCGAACCCTCCCCCACCCCCAGTCCATCATGAAAGGGGGGGGGGTCACTACCGGTTCGAACCCCCCCCCTCTCGAAAACCGGAGGGGTTCACTACAGGTTCGAACCCCCCCCCCTCGCCGCCGGCAAACGATACCCCCCGCTCCTCGGGACAGTTGGAGAATGGTGGGGATGTTGGGACAGTGGTGGGAACGGTGGTGGTGGGGACAGTGATGCGGGGACAGTGGGACAGTGGTGCGGACAGTGGTGGGGACAGTGGTGAGGGGACAGCGGGACAGTGGCGGGGACAGTGGGACAGTGGTGGGGACGGTAGTGGTGGGGACGGTAGTGGTGGGGACGGTAGTGGCGGGGACAGTGGTGAAGCCCGTGGTAAGGACAGTGGTGGGACAGTAGTGGGGAAAGTGGTGGGGACAGTGGGGACAGTGGGACAGTGATGGGGACAGTGGAGACGGTGGAACAGCACAGTGGGACACTGGTGGGAACAGTGGAGACAGTGGTGGTGAGGACAGTGGTGCTGGGGACAGCAGTGGGGGATGTGGTGCGGACGGTGGTAGGGACCCAAAGTTGTTTGCTGGCGGTGAGCGTGGGGGTGGGGGGAGGGGTTCGAACCGGTAGTGACCCCCCCCGGTTTTCGAGGGGGGCCGGGGTTCGAACCGGTAGTGACCCCCCCCCGGTTTTCGAGGGAAGGGGGGAGCCCGCCCCGGTTTTCCGGAAGGGGAGGAGAGGGGTTAGGGGAGGGGGGGAGGTCCAGCAGGGCGGGGGTGATTTCCGGAGAGGGGGGGACCCCCGGGTTCCGGAGGAAGAAGGGTGGGAATTTTCCATAGCAAAGCGGCGGTGGATCACGCTCTCTCTCATGGTCGAATCCGAGGCGGGCATTTGTGAGTGGATAGCGAGGAACTCTCGAGCGGGAGCACTCTTCGGGGGGAGGGTTCGGGTAGTGCCGAGGGGGGGAAGGGGGGGGGGTCCAGCAGGGGGGGGGGGATTTTCGGAGGGGGGGGGGGGGGGCCGGGGTTCCAGAGAAAGCGGGGGTGGGAATTTTCCACGGTAAAGCGGCGGTGGATCACGCTCTCTCTCATGTTCGAATCCGAGGCGGGCCATTGAGATAGTTCACCAGGAATAGCACTCGAGCACCTTAAGGCGGCAACTTGTGAGTGAGTGGATAGCGAAGAAGCGAAGAAGTCTCGAGCGGGAGCACCCTTCGGAGGGGGGTTAGGGTAGGGGGGGGGGGGCCGAGAGGGGGAAGGGGAGGGGGTCCAGCAGAGGGGGGGGGGGGGGGGGGGGGGGGATTTTCGGAGAGGAGGGGGGAGCGGGTTTTTTCCACAGTTAAGCGGCGGTGGATCACGCTCATGTTCGAATCCGAGGCGGGCCATTGGGATAGTTCGCCAGGAATAGCACTCGAGCACCCTAAGGCGGCAACTTCTGAGTGGATAGCGAGGAAGTTTCGAGCGGGAGCACCCTATTGGGCCCGCACGTGATGTGCGAATCCCAGGCGGGTCACCAGAAAAGTGAACCAGGCATCGTATTTGAGCACCCTAAGGATGCAAATCGTGAGTGGGTAGCGAGGAAATCTCGAGCGGGAACCTCCTCCCTTTGGGGCCCGCACTTCATGTTTGAATCCGACGCGGGTCATCGGAAAAGTTTACCAGGCATAGCACTTGAGCACCCTCAGGACGCAAAGTGTCATTGAATAGCGAGGAAGTTTCGAGCGAGAACCTCTGCCCATGGGGCCCGCATTTCATGATCGAATCCGAGACGGGTCATCGGAAGAGTCAATTCAATTAGGCATAGTATACTTGAGCACCCCTGTGACTGGCGAGGAAGTCTTGAGCGGGAGCCCCCTCCCTATGGGATCCGCACTTCATGTTCGCATCCGAGGCGGGTCATCGAAAAAGTCAACCAGGCATAGCACTTGAACAGCCTGAGGAGGCAAATCGTGAATGAATAGCGAGGAAGTCTCAAGCGGCATCCCCTCCCTGCGGGGCCCGCTTTTCACGTTCGAATTCGAGGCGGGTCATTCGATATTGTACCAGGCGTAGCACTTGAGCATTCCTAGGGGATAAACTGTTAGTGAATAGCGAGGAAGTCTCGAGCGGGAGCCCCCTCCCGATGGGCCCGCACTGCACATTCGAATCCGAGGCCGGTCATCGGAAAATTGTACAAAAGGCGTAGCAGTTGAGCACCTTGAGGAGGCAAATAGTGAGTGAATGCTGAGGAAGTCTCGAGCGAGAGCCCCCTCCCTATGGGGCCCGCACTTCATGTTCGAATCCGAGGCGGGTCCCCGGAAAAGTCTACCAGGTGCAGCATTTGAGCACACCGAGGGGGCAAATTGTGATTGGATAGCGAGGAAGTTTCGAGCGGGAGCACCCTCCCTTAGTAGCGCACGCGTGATTTTTGAATCCGAGGCGGTCCATTGGGAAATTTGACCAAGCATAGTATTTGAGCACCCTAAGGATGCAAATTGTGAGTGGGTAGCGAGGAAGTCTCGAGCGGGAACCTCCTCCCTATGGGGCCCGAACTTCATGTTTGAAATCGACGCGGGTCATCGGAAAAGTTTACCAGGCATAGCACTTGACCACCTTCAGGACGCAAAGTGTCATTGAATAGCGAGGAAGTCTCGAGCGGGAGCCTCATCCTATGGGGCCCGCATTTCATGATCGAATCCGAGGCGGGTCATCGGAAAAGTCAATTAGGCATAGTATACTTGAGCATCCATGTGATTGGCGAGGAAGTCTCGAGCGGGAGCCCCCTCCCTATGGGGCCCGCACTTCATGTTCGAATCCGAGACGGGTCATCGAAAAAGACCACCAGACAGCACTTGATCACCCTGAGCAGGCAAATCGTGAATGAATCTCGAGGACGTCTCGAGCGGCATCCCCTCCCTGCGGGGCCCGCACCTCGCGTTCACAGTCTGAGCGTCGTGCCATCGGAGACCCGTAAATGTCGCCATTCGTGTGCTCCCCAGACCTGGTTCTTGAGAACATTTCAGGTGGGGGCCTCATCCGTGAGCGATGGGGGGGAGGGGAGGAGGATGAGGAGCAAGAGGAGGAGGAGGAGGAGGAGGAGGAGGAGGAGGAGGAGGAGGCAGAGGAGGAAGAGGAGGAAGAGGAGGTGGATGGGGGGAGGGGCCAAGAGGACGAAGAGGATGCAGAGCAGGGGGGTGGGAGGAGGGCCTCCGCTAGGGCGCGAAAAGGGGGGAAGGGCGCTGAGAACACAGGGAGGGAGTCCCAGCATTCACAAGGATAACGATGAAGAGTACGTTCAGACTAGTTTGTGAGATGATCATGCGGGGTCCTTCCGTCGGGGTAATTCTTGACTACGAAGTGTAAAGCAGGAGCCCCACATGTCCCAAAGGATCCGCCATCCACGTTGTACATGTTGCATTATTTGGTGTAGAGCAACATTTCAAGTGAGAGGTTAATGTTGGAAAGGGTATGCCTTTCACCCCCGCAAGTATTACACAAGTAATTTGTCCGCTAATATGCTGACTTCTTCGGCAAAAGCCCACATTGAACAAAATGAGCCGCTCTCCAATTGCGCAGTTGCTGGATGCGTTTAAGACGGATCTACCCCATTCACATTTGTAATTGCTGGAAGTGTTTAAGAAGGACGCGCGTTTCCAAGGAGATAACCACATTTTGAAATCGATGTGCCGTCCACCCGTGTGAATTGTTGGATAGGGCGAGGAGCGATGTGGTACTAGGGGGGAAGATGAGTGCGGAATATGCTTGGTGCCTTCCCCTCCGGGAAGCCAGCGGACGTTGCACGAAGGACGATCAAGGCAGCGAAAACCACAGAGATATTCAGTGAGGTTGGATCGTCCCCTTGGAGGAGACAGAGAGAGAGAGAAGAGAGAGAGAGAGAGAAAGAGACAGAAAGAGAAACACGAAAATATTAAAGGGAGAGAGGGCGAGAGAGAGAGAGAAGCGGGGAAGGCGAGTCTCCTCTCTCCCCCCCGTCCCTGCCCCTCCTCATCCCTCCCGCCCCCTCCTCATTATCCTCCTCTTCATCCTATCCCTCCTCCACCTCCTCCTTGTCCTCCTCATCATCCGCTCGCGCTTCGGAATGTGATGTGATTGGGGGTGAACTGAAGCTCCTGGTTTCCTCGGGGGAGAGGGATAGTGTGAGAGAGAGAGAGCGAGAAGAGACAGAAAACGAGCACGGGGCAGAGTGAGAGAAGGCGGATACCGAATCTCACTATCTCTGTGGTTTGGGCAGCCATGATATAGTAAGTTTTTTGCTGCATGCGTGCATGAATAGGGAGGTGGTCGTTTTAAGCCTCGACCGCTTGCATTGTAACCACTCGCGCTCACGATTGGAGGGCGAAAACGAGGGCAGCGTTGCGCGTTGCAGTATATGGTAGCGGATGTCGATCGAACGTTGAGTGATCATCGAGATGGTTCGTTGTGGAGGTTGTGGCGACGAACATTACGCATGGGGCCCAGCTTCATTATGTTAGGTTTCCGATATGTCGCTGTTGAAAAACATGGTCCTCGAGTCTTGAGTAGGACCTGCGACTGACCGATGCAAGAGACACAGTTCCGTTTGCTCGACGCGCGATATTTGATGACATCCATTGTTGAAGAGCCCAAGGTTCAGATTCACCGCACTTGAACTTCGAGCAGGAACCAACGTTCGAAGTATCGCTTGCGGCCTGGCGAGTCTGGTGCCGACCGACATCTACAGAGAATTTGCGAGATGGGTCAGGTTCGATCACACGTGGATGCAGCCCGATCTGACGCACGTGTCGATGTAATGATGATTAATCCTGCTCTCTCGTTTCTCCCTCTCTCCCGGGACAGGAGAGTGAAGGAGGAGGAGGAGGAGGCGCAGTGGAGGAGGAGGAGGAGGAGGAGGAGGACTGGGACGCTTTGGAGAAGGAGGAGGAGGAGAAGGAGGAGGAGGAGGAGGAGGAAGGCGCAATGGAGGAGGAGGAGGAGGAGGCGGAGGATTGGGAGGTTCGGGAGGAGGAGGAGGAGAAGGAGGAGGAGGAGGAGGAGAAGGAGGAAGGCGAAGTCTGGGAAGGGGAAGATGCAGTTGGAAGAGCTGGATCACCCTTCCTCCCCTCCAGAGGGGGCGCGGGGGCCGGCCGGTCGGCCGCCGCTGCCCCCCCGAGCCATGTCCTTGCCTGGCATCGGCGGCTCCGAGGCAGAGCGTCCCGTTGCGTCGGCGTGCTCTTCTTTTCCTCGCCCTCCTCCCTCCGCCTCCGCCTCCTCCTCTGCCTTCTTTTCCTTCTCCTCCTCCTCCTTTTCCTCCTCCTCCTCCTCTTCCTGTCCCTTCCTCCTCCACCTCCTCCTCCTCCTCCTCCTCCTTCTCCTTCTCCTCCTCCCCCACCTCCTAGCTGTCCGGTCCCCGAGAGTCGGGCATTGTGCATCTTTCGTTCAGGACAGCATTCAGTGTGCACGGGCTTTTTTGGCTTGTGAGTCCTTCTTATCCTCAGTGTGCCTGCCCCGTCATGGCCCCAGATGCTCCCTGGTCTCCCCGCGATTCCTCGGCGGATTGGTGGGCTGGCGATGGCGACCAGGAGGCGCCGTGGGCGGCGGTCGCGGGCTCGCAGTTGCAGCGGGCAGCCGCAGTGTGACCGCCCCTGCGCCGTGCGGCTGGCGGGTGGCCATGTCGCGGTGATTCGGCGGCGGGCGCGGGGGGGAAATGAGAAGGGGCGGGACTTCCGAGGCTTCTGAGAAGTTTCTGGACTTCTGAGAGGGCTTCTGAGAAGTTCTGTCTGTATTCGAAATAGGCCAAGGAAACGTCTCAGAAGCCCCCCGGACTTCTAAGAAGTCCCGCGGCCTTCTGAGAAGGCCTTCTCCTTCTCATTTCCCCCCTGGGCTCGTCGCCTAGTGATGAGATTGAGCCCTCGGCAAGCAAGAGCAGCTCGAGGCGGTGGCGGTGCCGGCAGTGTGGGTGCAAGAAAAACCTCATCGGCTTCCAGCACTGCAAGCACTGCGATGTTCACCACCACTGCTAGTCCGACTTGTCGGCGGATGAATGGCCTGCGCTTCCAGTTCGGCCTGGGCATTTTCGTGCTCTTCCTGGCGGCCCTGCTGCTGATGGAGCAGGTGGAGGTGCATGCGAGGGTGTGCGTGCGCCGTCCGAAGCTGAGCTGCGCACCATGGTCCTATTGGCTAAGAAGAGCGGCGACCCGGTCGGGTTGGCAAAGCACGAAAAGACCCTGCAGGCGGTCGCCCCCAAGTTTGCAGCGGTCATCCCCCCCCCCCCCAGCAGAGGGCCAGCAAGGCCCACGCCAAGGTGCTGCAGTTTGAGCGGCAGCTGGGGCAGGAGGTCGAGAGGTTGGACAAGGCCGCGAAAGCGTATTCCAACCAGCGGAGTGCAGTCGAGGCCGCCGCCGCCGATGCAGAGTACAAGGGTGTGGTTCAGGAGCTGGCAGGTGAAATTATCGAGGTCTCGAGGTTTGTTGGGCCGCAGCGGGTCGATCTCGAGGATATCATATCGGATAAAGTCGAGGCCAGCTCGATCATCAACACCGAGAGTGCGTTCCAGCTTGATGAGACAAGGTACGAGCTCACTCCCGACGACAAGCAAAAGTTGCAGGAAAGGAAGGAGGAGCTCAACAATCGGTTGCGCGAACTTGCCTCTTCGTTGTTCGCTGGTGCGGTTGAGAAGACCAACGAGCTCAAGGCGGCACATACAGATCACGTTCGCCGGCTTGCGGCTCACAGAAGGAAGGGAACTGCAGGCGACTTGCCCAGCACAGGCGGCGATGGCAAAGGGTGGAGCTGCCCTTTCATCGGGCAGCGCCCCTGCTCCCGCACTTGGTCTTCCAGTCGGAGCCGCAGCCAGTGATCCAGTTCCTGGAGATAGTGGCGACGAAGAGCGAGCGCTTGCGGAGAAGGTCCTGGCAGGTGGTGGCCAAGCACCCACCCTTGCTTCTGCGGTCTGAGGACACTGGGAGCAGGGGGGCGTGAGTGAGATCCCCACCAGCCTGCCGCTCGATGCAGTCCATGGGCGCATGCGTCGCCAGTGTCGGCAAGATTTGGGAGTCGACATGTTGCACTTCTTTTGCCAAGATCGATGCTATGCATGTCCCTTGGGGCGTTCCCAAGCTTGGTGCATATCTTGGCCTTTTTTCGACTTCCTCCGCCCACCTCAGCTGGTTTGCGCTGGGAGGGGGCAGCCTGTTTTTGACAGCGTTGATGCCGATTCGTTGTTTGTCGCCCTCTATGGAGCACCGCAATTGCACGTCTTGGAGTTCGCCCAAGACTGGTTGCTCTTGTGCAAATCCCACATCGCTCTCCTTCAGGAAACCCACCCTTTGGCCGATAGGATCACCGAAGCCCAAGGGTGGCCCCGTAGGAGTGGTTGTAAAAGCCTGTTCGAGCCCGCTCGATCTACGGCTGCTTCGGACACCTCGGGCGGGGTGGCGGTGTTGTGCCGAAGCTTCTTAGATCCTGCTTCGCCCTCGCATGGATCTCAGGTGAGGTGGTGCCCCAGAGAGCGATCGTGGCCAGTGTGAGCCTGCAGCAGCAGGAGCCGCTCCTTGTCTTCACGTGCTACCTCCATCACTGTCAGGGTTTGTCAGATCACAACAGCCCCCCCCTCCTACGATGTCGGGCCGGTCGCGTCGGACAGCCCCCACCCGCGCATCATTGGGGGAGAGTTCAACACGTCGCCCGACACCCTCAGCGGCCGCCGGTTCGCTGAGAAGTTGGCCGCCCAGGTGGTGGACGCAGATCTGGCGACTTGCACCTCGAGCGCGAAGGAAGGCATTCGCAATTACGATTACCAGATTGTCTCTAGCGGCCTCGCGAAATGATTCAAGGAAGTTCAAGTGGACTATTTAGCCCCCACCACCCCGCATTCCCTTGTCTGTCTCTCAGTTTTCCCCAGGTTGCACGACCTCGAGGCCCTCTCGCTGCGCGGCCCCCTCCCGCCCGCTGTGCCCATCGGTCCGTTCCCCGAGGTTCCGGACTGGTCGGAGGTGTCTGCGCTGGCGGGCAGGGCGAGAGCGATTGCGATGACGGGAGCCGCCCATGCCCAGCTTGCGTTGGCCCAGTTGCATAAGACATGGGCCAACCTCGCCGAGTACGAGCTGGCCCGCGCTCTTCAGACGAAGAATTAACGCGCGGCGGGTCAGTAGCCCCGAGAAGGGCAGCAGTCAGTCCTCAGAGGCACCCTCTGCTCTCTGCGGCGCGCTGGACGGCTCGCGCCCCCCGCTTCCGGGCCGCGGCCCAGCGGCCAGGCGTCGCGCCTGCGGCCGCCGAGGGGGTCTCTATGGAAGTGGGAGGGCGCGAGGGTTTACTGCGGCATGCAGCTCGGGGATCAGAAGGGAGTCGAGGGGGGGGGTTCTGCCATCTCGAGGCCAGTCAGTTTTTAGCTCAGCAGCTGCAAGGAGGCTCTCACTCCGATCTTCTTGGCGCCGCGCACGACTGCGCGCGCAGTAGCGAACCTCGCGAGGTGGCTGGAGCGCTGCTTGCTCGAGCCGCGCTGGCCGTGGATCGGGAGACCGACAACGCTCGACAGCAGGGGGGGGAAGTCCTGGCGCGCGTGGCTTCAGCAGGACATGGTCAAGGGTGGGAGGCGCGCCCGCGCTTGGCCCAGGCCCGTCGAGGCTGGCAGCCCTTGACCGCTCTCTCGGCCCCCGGACAGATCACTGCCGACCCTTTGGCTCTCCTCGAGAAGGAAGGCGAAAGATGTCGCGCTCTGTGCGTGGCCGACTCGGCCGATGATCTCGCGAACCGTCCGGTTTCCAGCCCCAGGAACCCCCTTTTTTGATTTGTGCGGGCTGTCTCAGGGGTGCTAGTGGGTCCTACAGTCGGGGCCCTGAAGAAGGAACCTTTTTCGTTGGGGAGGGGCTCCGTGTTCCCTAATTGTTTCGCAGCTTGCCTTGGATGTTCCTCAGGCTTTCGTCGAGAAACCGAAGTTCAACTTATGGAAAATAGCGGCCTCGTTCCGCATTCAGGGTTATCCGCGAGGGCTTCGCCCCCTGCCGCCGGCCCCCTCTCTCGGAGAATGGGCCATGGAAGAGCTAAGTCATGAGGCCTTGGCGCTGTCGCGAAGCAGTATCGAAACTTCATGCGAAGCCGATTCGCAATCAGCAAAACCAACTGATCACAAGAGGGGTTACCACACCTGGCGATTGGTAAGACGTGTATGGTTTACGGGCTTGGTTACCACACCTTGCGATTAAAGGGCCAAGGGAGTTCTCGCAGTTCGGGTTGCCACGCCTTGCGATGGATGTGCGTGAAGGGTGGCACCGAATTTCAGAAATGCGGCAAATCCCCTGTTTTTTTCGACCCTGACCCCGCGGATCTGCGTAAGGGGTGGCGCCGAATTTTAGAAATGTGGCAAATCCCATGTGCGTTTGGACCCTGACCCCGCGGATCTGCGTGAGGGGTGGCACCGAATTTCAGAAATGTGGGAAATCCCTTGTGTTTTTGGACCCTGACCCCGCGGATCTGCGTGAGGGGTGGCACCGAATTTCAGAAATGTGGCAAATCCCCTGTGTTTTTGTACCCTGACCCCGCGGATCTGCGCGAGGGGTGGCACCGAATTTCAGAAATGTGGCAAATCCCATGTGTGTTTGGACCCTGACCCCGCGGATCTGCGTGAGGGGTGGCACCGAATTTCAGAAATGTGGCAAATCCCATGTGTGCTTGGACCCTGACCCCGCGGATCTGCGTGAGGGGTGGCACCGAATTTCAGAAATGTGGGAAATCCTTTGTGTTTTTGGACCCTGCCCCCGCGGATCTGCGTGAGGGGTGGCACCGAATTTCAGAAATGTGGCAAATCCCCTATGGTTTTGGACCCTGACCCCGCGGATCTGCGTGAGGGGTGGCACCGAATTTCAGAAATGTGGCAAATTCCCTATTTTTTTTGACCCTGACCCCGCGGATCTGCGTGAGGGGTGTCGATTTCGAGCCCCCCCAGCAATTCAGACAACGCGCCCAGGGGGCGCTAAAAAGCCGGTTTGGGCTTCCCCCCCCCTCGCGCGGTCAATCAACTAGTTGCGGTAACCAGCAATAAGCAGAACTGTAACATCGGAAACTACAAGCTACAACTGGCACAGGGAACTGCGAATCCCGCGCCTCGCAGCCTGGTGGCCCCACAAGGGGGCCGGCGGATTTAGCCAAACGCCTCGACTGCACTGTCCCTGGCTCTCTGCGTCGGTGGATGGATTCCACATGGAGCAT